GTTTGGTTTGGTTTGGTTTGGTTTGGTTTGGTTTGGTTTGGTTTGGTATGGTTTGGTTTGGTTTGGTTTGGTTTGGTTTGGTTTGGTATGATTTAGTTTGGTTTGGTGTGGTGTGGAGTGGTTTGGTGTGGTGTGGTGTGGTTTGGTGTGGTATGTTGTGGTTTGGTGTAGTTTTGGCTATGCTGGTACCCAGCAAGTCTCCAGATCTTCCTGTCTCCACCCCCTCCCAGTGCTGGTTTTACAGTGCATGTGACCACACTCAACTTTCTCACATGGCTTCTGGGAATCAACACTTAAGCCCTCAGGTTGTTTGTGCAGCAAGTGTTCTCGCCCTGAGTCATCTTCCCAGTCTGTCCTATTATTGAAAAAGAAAGACTGAGTGGAACCCTCTTCTGTGTACACAGAGAACATGGCTGAGTGTTTGGAATGGCCACCGGCCCCTCTTGGTAATGACGTCATGTGATTCTAGGCACATCAAGGACAAGAACATCATAGAGCTGGTTCACCAGGTTTCCATGGGGATGAAGTATTTGGAAGAGTCCAATTTTGTGCACAGAGACCTGGCTGCAAGGAACGTGCTTCTGGTCACCCAGCACTATGCCAAGATCAGCGATTTCGGTCTTTCCAAAGCCCTTCGTGCTGATGAAAACTACTACAAGGTAGGACAGCTCAGTGCAGGCTCACCGAGCTGGGTGAGGGGAGAACTCAGTGCAGGCTCACTGAGCAGGCTGAGGGCTCAGTACAGGCCCATGGAGCAGGCTGAGGGCTCAGTGCAGGCTCACCGAGCAGGCTGAGGAGACAGCTCAGTGCATAGTCAAGGTTGCAGGTTATAAAGACGTGGAAAGATAAATGTATGCTCTCTGTATTTTTATTGTAGTAGAAATCTCACTAGTAACCTTGGGGGAAAGTATTCTTAAGATTGATTCTGTCAATCAAGAAACAAAACCCAGAAATACTGTAATATTTCTCAACTGGAGTCTTGTTCAGACTAGCATCCTATGTTGGTGCTTTGTTGTTGTTGTTTGTTGTTTTGTTTTACATGTACTTATCTTGCTCCGTGTGTTTAGGCATGAGTGCCTTAGTGTCCTAATAGAGATCAGAAGACAACTTACGGAAGCTGATTCTCTCTGTCTACCATATATATCGGAGGAATCGAACTCCGAACTTCAGCCTTGACAGCAAGCACCTTACCCACTGAACCAGCTTGCTGGCCCTGAATGCTTGCGCCAACCTACTTTGAAAAATATAAATTGACCTAGTTGATTTTTCTTTTGTTAGACAGGATTTCATGCAGCCCACGTTGGCATCTGTCTCCTGAGTGCTGGGTTATAGGCATATACCACCATGATTGGGTTATTCAGGGGTTCTCCATCTTCCTAATGCTATGACCCATTATCACAGTTCCTCATGTGGTGGTGAGACCCACCAACCATAAAATTATTTCATTGCTACCTCATAACTGTAATTTTGCCACTGTTATGGATTATGTTGCAAATATCTGATGTGCAGGATATCTGATATACGACCCCTAAAGGGGTCACGACCCACAGGCTGAGAACCACTGGGGGCTTTATGCCTGTTGAATGAAGCCACTACTAAGTGAGCCACTTCCTTGGCCCCAGAACTGGTGGATCCTTGAGAGCTTTTTCTGAGCCCTTTTCATTGAATTGACATTGTGAATTTCAGCAGAGGTGGTTTTTCTGCTCCACTCCTTAAACCCAGCTCCTTTGTGCATCGGTGTGTGCACACCTGATTTAACATACAATGTCCATTCTGCTTCCAGGCCCAGACCCACGGGAAGTGGCCCGTGAAGTGGTACGCCCCTGAATGCATCAACTACTACAAGTTCTCCAGTAAGAGTGACGTCTGGAGCTTCGGGGTCCTGATGTGGGAAGCGTTCTCCTATGGACAGAAGCCATATAGAGTGAGCCATGCTTAGCTGTGTGTTTTGTGTCTCAGCCTCCCGTCATTCCGCATAGGTTTATTGCCACGAAAACCTGGACCCCTAGAATCTGGGGATGCCCTGGGGTCTCGCATCACCTTCTAACAATGGGTGGTTAGTGCAACCGACTCTGAGCTTGCACTTATTTGGGGAAATGACATGTGATACTAAGTGAACACATTCCCACTGTGTGCTACACACATACATGCACCAGACACAGCCCCAGACCATCCTTCCTGAGAGTTAAATAGAAATGGTGATACCGACAGCATCAAGTATTTTAGTTGGTAGCATGTGTGTTTTCATGTGTGTGCACACCTGTGTATGCGCATGTGCATGTGTGTGTCTGTGTAGACCGGAGATCATCTTTAGACATCCTTCCTCAGGGACTATCCACCTTGCATTTTAAGACAGTCTCTTCAATAGCCTGAGCTCACCAAATAGGCCAGGCTGGCTAGCCAGTAAGCCCCAGGCATCTGCCTGTCTCTATACCCCAGGACTGGGCTTACAAACTTTCAATACCACTCTTGTCTTTTTATGTGGGTTTGGGGGATTGCACTCAGGTCCTTGTGCTTGCAAGGTAAACACTTTGTAGACTGAACTATCCCGTGTGTGTGTGTGTGTGTGTGTGTGTGTGTGTGTTTCCTGGTGTAGGCAGATCCTAGGGTGTCACTCAATAGATTGTCACAAATGAAACTTCCCACAAAGCTCATTCCCTACATGAGGAATCAAAACAAACTCCAAAGCCTCCCCTCTCTCCTACACACCCAACCCTTCTTATTGAGCAGCCATGTCTGACTCTAGGATTCCAGAAGAGGGACCCCCTAGTCCTGTGACTGATGTCACTTAAAATCGAACAGCCTGTGTTCGTGTTCCAGTGCGTCCGAGAGGGAGGTACTCTTATATGTATATTTTGAAAGCTTATGTGGATTTTCACATCTTAGGGGATGAAAGGAAGCGAAGTGACCGCCATGCTGGAGAAAGGAGAGCGGATGGGGTGCCCTCCAGGATGTCCGAGAGAGATGTACGACCTGATGAACCTGTGCTGGACTTACGAGTGAGTGCCCATCCTTCCCATCATTGACCTGAAGGTTCTAGAAGCAGGTGGTGTAGCTGCTGTCCTAGCTTCATTTCTGTCTCTGACAAAGTGCCATGGCCAAAATATAACTTAGGGGGGAAGGATTTATTTTAACACAGAACTCCAGGTTATAGTCCATGATCACAAGAAAGTCAGGGCGGTAGAAACTTAAACCTTGGTCACCACACATCAGAGAGCTGAGAGAGAAGACTGCACACACACTCCCAGTGCTCAGTTCTCTTTCTCCTTTCTTAGAAAGTCCAGGATTCCCTGGTCCAATGGCAACCAACCCATGGTGGCCTGGGGCTTCACACAAATAACACAATCAAGACAATTCTCTTCCCAAGTGGTTCCAGACTGTGTCAAGTTGACAATTAAAACCAGCCACAGCTGCTGTTATGGAATTTGTGATCCCTGGGAAGAGACCACAGACTTGATTCCATTCTAATTAAAAGATTTATCGATTAGCTACAAGCAGGATGAACAATCTCTGAGCCAGTTTTTGAAATTACTGTGAAGGAGGGCTATGAGGAAGTGTTTGTTGTTGTTGTTGTTTTGAGTTTTTGGTTTCTTAAGAGGAAAACCACAGGAAGACCTTCAATATCTAAACAGGTAACCAAAAATCAGTCTATTCTGCCAAGTTAATTGGTTAAAGCAACTCAAAACAATATTCAGGTATCTGCATAAGCAAGTTATGCATAAGAAGCTAACAAGGCAGTTAGTCATATCATAGCAAGTAGACCGTCACATCTGTACCTTTTTGGGTGGAGATCACAAGTCGGGGTTACTGGGAATGTATCTACCAAGGACTGACGTCAGAGACACACCTAGAGGGTACTGAGACGGATGCCTGGTTTTAGCCATCACTCTGGGTTTAAAAATGAGGCGTGAGTTCTCTTGATACATCAAGAATGTGCTGCCTTCTACATAAATGATGACAGGTGAGCCAGAGATTGACTGTGTTACTAGCCAATCATGCCGCTTCATGGGAGGGACACTACTATATGTATTTTATAACTGTGGGAATGTCAGGCAGACTAGGGCAGGTGTAAAGTCGCCAGCTGTTTCAATTTTATGAGACTATGATGTGGATTGGGAGAAATCACAGAATCCCAGATGTCATCTCAAGCATCTAGAACACTCTTGTCTTTGACAAACTCAGACATATCTGGGAGCATCCCTGCTTCCGAGAATCCTAACATCGAGGCTAGACACAGACAACTCAGTACCGGAAGTCCCCAGATAGTGGCACAGGGTTGGCACATGCCACATTCACAATTGCTCAGCCCACCGGATCTGAGGCCCCATCCCTATTCTTAGGTACAGTGTGTTTTGCCTCCCCTCCATCCCCTGAGAAGGTCAGACACCGTGCACATGGTGAGAGTGTGAATCCGCTATGAGCATGCTCTGCCGTACCTGTGGGGGAGGAGCCCAGCCACTGTGATAACGCCGTCCGGTGCTAGTGCGGTACTCGATGTTAGAAAGCTGAGATTGAGTGTGGGCACGAATTTTTTGAAACCAACTTTTAATAAGCGTTCAACCTCTCCTCTAGCCCACTACCCAGCAGAGGTAGTGAAAGAGAAAAGTTATTAGGACATGGGGGAAGTGGACCTGTTCAGCAATAGTTCTTTGGGAGCGAGCTCGATCCTCTTGGGCAGCAGTTCAGTCCTGTAGCAAACACCAAACATGATTCAGCAGCTGCAGACCAGTCCTCTAGGCAGGCAGACCCCAGGCGTGACCCAGCAGCTGCCGTCCAGTTCGTTCATGCCTTGCTCATCTCAGCATTTAACTTGTTGACAGCACAGACTTGCTGGGCAGAGACTTACGATGCATGGGATTGGGTCTTGACCAGATCACGGCCACAGAGATCTGTGAGTTCTAGCAAGAGCACAAACCAACGCCCCCTCTCCTTGAAAGTGGGTAGGGTGAACTACAGCTGTGTCCATATTCTCCTCTTAAGAATTTGAGCCAAGGAACTAAGGAGATGACTTTATTGGTAAAGTGCTTGGTATGTAACTGTAGAGACCTGAGTTCAGACCCTAGAACCCATGTAAACTGCCAGGCATGGCGGCAAGTGCTTGTGGTCGCAGCACCAGCAAAGAAGATGGAGACAGGAAGATTCCAGATGCTTCCTGGTCAGCCAGCCTCGCCTACTTGATAAGTTCCAGGCAATTGAAAAACCCTGTCTCAAAAAACCAAGGTAGATCGTGTCTGAGGAAGGACACCAAGGTTGTCGCCTGGCCTCCGCACATACTTAGATCACACCGCCAAACACATGTGCACACATACTTATGAAAGTACACAGAGAGACAGAGTCAAACATCTGTACATCCACAGCACAGGGGCAAATGAGGTGTCTTCAGACACAGAAGACATTCTGTACTATAGTGCAAAACTCTTGCAGGTCACAAGGACATGGACAAGGATGCTATAAAGTGGCAGGCTTGAGTTCTGTAGGTTTAGAGCGGGAAGAGACACTCCTGACCACGCTGAGCCCGGGGCTCAATGACCAGCATTCAGCACCACCAGGGGGCACTGTGACTTAATCATGTTTCCACAAGCTTACTGACCAACACTAACACATCTCTCTCTTCCTCCTTCAGTGTGGAGAACAGGCCAGGATTCACAGCCGTGGAACTGCGGCTTCGCAATTACTACTACGACGTGGTTAACTAACAGCTTGGGCGCCTGTCCGTGCACACCTCAGATTCTCAAGCGGTCACTGGAACTTCATTCAGATGACTCGCTCTTAGTTTCATCTCCCTCTGCATGGAGTGAGAGCTAACCAAGCAAAGCTAAGACTCACTCTCATAACAGTTCTGGTCCCAGAGGACAGACAAGCAGCAAGACCTCGGGGCCTGTGGATTTGTCTATCTGGCTTTTATTTCCATCTGTGTGGTTTCCGTTATGGGTCACTTTCGGGAACTGTTTCCAAATTTCTCTTGACGTCATTCTGTTCCTCTGGGTCCAGGATTTTCGTGTCCCCTACAGATCAGAAAAATAAAAAAAAAAGTGCTGTGCCACTTCAGCAAAGGACATAAAGAGAAACGTCACCGGTGCAGTCAGCAGGCCAGAAGGTGGTAAAGGAAAATGGCAAGCCTGAACACCATTTTTTTTTTTGCTCTCGGCCCTGAGACAGAAATACCATGTGGTTGAGATGCTGAGATTCGCTGAGACGCGCTGACTCGGCTTACACGCCCCTGGAGTCCACATCCCTACAGGATGACTTGAAGGCCGCTGTTGTGTGCTTGCAGGAGGAGGTGTGAATAACATTCTGCATGGAGGCTGCTGGGGAAAGGTGGGCTCCCATGATCCTCTTCGACTGAGCAGAGTGTGTCAGGCATGGGTCAGACTCCCTCTCCTCTTTGGAGAGAATGCATCCAGGACTCCTTTTTGCTGCCACAGAATACCCAACCAGCAACTTAGGGAGGAAAGGCTTATTTGGGCTCACAGTTGGAGGGCATAGGCCATCATGGAGGAAAAGATGTTGCAACAGGCAGGATCAGCTTGGTGGCAAGAACCAGAAGCTGGAAGGTTATGTTGTATCCACACTCAGGAAGCAAAGAATAAGCAGGAAGTAGGACCAGGATATAAGGCCCCAAAGCCCACCCTTGGTGTCCACTTAATCCAACACAGCCCCACCTCCCAAAGGTTCCACAGGCCTCTCAGACAGTGAATGCCAACAGCTGATGATCAAGTGTTCAAATGCATGAGCCTTGGTGGGGGAGAGGCATTTCACATTCAAACCACAAGAGGACCCATCCATTTTCTGTTGCTATAACTGAACGGCTAAATAGGGGGAATGTACAAAGGAAAGAAATGTATTTCTTAGTTGTACATCCTTCTTCTCTGAAGGTTGGAACTGCCACCAGCAAGGTGCAGTGCCAGGCAGGGACCTTCCTGAAGGTTACACAGTGAGATATCCTGACAGAGTGGATGAGCCAGCTCAGGTCTGTCTTCCTCTTATGAGCCCCTGATACCATCTCAGAGCCCGCCTTGGGACCCTGCCTCATCTTGATCCTCCCCCAGAGACCACGTCTCCAAACGCCATGCCAATGAACCTAGGTAGTAAGCCTTCAGCGCATGAACCCTGAGGGGACACATTCACACTAGAGCAGATGGCAGCATGGTGACCAAGACCAGCTCAAGATGAGTTTCTGAATGGAATTTTAATTCACAATTAAACCAGAGATGTGACCTTCCCCACAAGTAAGCCTTGCTAAGTGTGACTTTGAGCTGAGGACACATGAGCTGAGAATTTCCCTCTCTCCTCCTAACCTTGGCTAAGGCGTGGCTAATTCTTAGATCATACACCAAGTGTCACCCGTTCACGGCACTTTTGCTGAGGATCTAAAAATTACAAAGGCTGCATAGCCTTCAGTCTAGGTCTAGGGGAATGTACAGATGATGGCATCTCATCTTCACCTCTGAGACACTGTGCCACACAGCCAGGGATGGTACAGGAAGCCCTGTTGGTGGTGGGTTCGATGAACAGAGAAGGTGAAATAGGTGCCTCTCTTTAGACCAGTGGTTCTCAACCTTCCTAATGCTGAGACCCTTCAATACAGTTCTCATGTGGCAGTGACTCCCAACCATGAAGTTTTTTTTGCTACTTCATAACTGCAATTTTGCTACTATTATGCATAGTATAATTATCTGATATGCAGGATATGGGATATGTAAATATCCAGTATGCCGGATATGGGATATGTAAATATCTGATATGCAGGATATGGGATATGTAAATATCTG